AGGTTAGGAGTATGTTGTCTACCTCAGGTTTACCTAAGAAGTTTTGGGGTGAAGCAGTCACCACTGCCACCTATCTGATTAATAGATCTCCCTCTGTTCCCATAGGGGGTCAATGCCCTGAAGTTAAGTTTACTGGTGGGCCTCTTGACCTAACAAACCTTAGGGTCTTTGGGTGTGCAGCCTATGTTCATCAGAAAACTGATAAGTTAGATCCTAGATCCAAAAAGTGTGTGTTCTTGGGTTATCCTGATGGGGTAAAGGGATATAGGTTGTGGGATAGAAGTGTGCCTGGTTTTAAGGTGGTTATAAGTAGGGATGTAATTTTTAATGAATTTGATTTCCCTTGCTTGCTTAAACCTGTTTCTGAGCATGAGCCTGAGAGGACACCTGTTGAGGTGGAGCCTCGAACTCCTTCTGTACCTATTATTCCTGTTGTTATGTATGACACTCCTCCTGTTGTTCCTGTCATCCCTTCTGATGTGCATGTTAATACTTCTTCTGATACTGCTACCTCCGGTGAGGTGGAGTTCAACACTCAAGATGACCATGTGTAAAATGATTCTCTGTCTGGTGAGACTAATGTGTTTGATGATTCTGCTGAGAATGATAATGTTGATTTGCATGACTACCAACTTGTTAGGGATAGGGGTAGAAGAACCATTAAGAGAAAATCTGATACTTTGTCTGATTATGCTTTTACTGTGTGTGATATATCTGATTTTGCTTTTACTGTGTTTGAGACCCTAGACCTAAATGAACCTAAGACCTATAGTGAAGCTATAAGGTCCAGAGAGGCTCAGAAATGGCTTGAGGCCATGAAAAGTGAGATGGACTCTCTAAGAGTGAACCAGACTTGGACCCTTGTTCCTAGACCTAATGCCAGCTCAGTGGTTGAGTGCAAATGGCTGTTTAAGGTTAAGGAAGAACCGGGTAATAACATTAGGTATAAGGCCAGGTTAGTTGCCAAGGGGTTTACTCAAAAAGAGGGGGTAGATTATGCAGAAATATTTGCTCCTGTAGTTAAGTTTACTACTGTTAGAATCATGTTGGCATTGGTTGCTCACCATGACTGGGAGATGAAACAAATGGATGTCACCACTGCATTTCTGCATGGTGAATTGGATAAGAAAATTTACATGACTCAACCTGAGGGCTTTGTGGATCCCAAGAGGAGTGACCATGTCTGTCTGCTTAGGAAGGCCTTGTATGGCCTGAAGCAATCCCCTAGGCAGAGGAATATTAGGTTTGACAAGTGTATGCAGTCTATGAAATTTGTGAAATCTGCCTGTGATCATTGTCTTTATTTCAAGAATACTAATTCTGTACCTGTGTTCTTGTTAATCTATGTGGATGACATGTTGATTATTAGCCCTTGTCTTAAATCTATTATGTCTGTTCAAAAATGTCTTTGTGAGAACTTTGCGATGAAAGATCTTGGTGATGCCAAGAGGATACTTGGGATTAACATTATTAGGGACAGGAGCAAGCATACTCTTGTTCTAAATCAGATTTCGTATGTTGAAAAGGTTTTGAGTAAGTTTAATATGTCTTCTGTTGCACCTGTGCATGTTCCTCTTGCCTCTCATTTTGTGCTAAGTAAGAATCAGACTCCTAAGACTGATTCTGAAATTGAGCTTATGAAGTATGTTCCTTACTCCAATGCTATAGGTTCTGTGATGTATCTGATGGTTAGTTCTAGACCTGATATTGCCTATGTTGTGAGTTGTTTGAGTAGGTTTATGTCTAATCCTGGTATGCCTCATTGGAATGCTTTGAAATGGCTTTTGAGATACTTGAAATTTTCTGCTAATCATGGTTTGATTTTTACTAAGTGTACTGAAGGTGTGAAACTGAGTGGTTATGTTGACTCTAACTATGCTAATGATAAAGACAATATGAAATCTACCACTTCCTATGTGTTCACTTTGTGTGGGTCGTGTATTAGTTGGAAATCTCAGTTACAACCAATTGTTGCCTTATCAACCACTGAAGCTGAGTATGTTGCAGCTACAGAAACTTTCAAGGAAGCCATCTGGTTAAGTCGTCTTGTTGCTGAAATAGGTTTTCTCAAACAGGATGTTACTGTGTTTTCTGATAGCCAGTCTGCTATCCAGCTTTGCAAAAACCCTGTTTTTCATGACACGACCAAACACATTGATGTGAGGTTCCATTTTATTCGTGATGTTTTAGATGCAGGTAAAGTGAAGCTGTGCAAGATACCCTCATAGTTCAACCCTGCAGATATGGGGACGAAGTGTCTATCTGCTGAAAAACTTTTGTCTTGTAAACGAATTTTAAATTTGGACTGCGGTTAACTCTGTTTGCAGGTTTTGGGTATGTTGGAGGGTAGATTCTTGAAAGCATAGTGCTTGAGAGAATCTACTCTCACGGTTAGGGAGAGTACTTTGGGTACTTCTCCAATTTCCTTTTGGGAGTATTTTGTGTATCTCCAATTTGTTTGCCAGTTATGTCTTTAGGATATCACTGGTGACCCAGCGATGATGAACCACGTGCTCATGTTACTTTGTGATACCATGCACCACCAATGATGGCCAATAAGGTGGAGAGTGTGGAGGTATTGGCCCCACGGGCCAAGGCAGCCCTCTCTATCCTATTGGGCCTGTTTGCTTACCTCTGCCCTGGCCCATGTTGTTCTGCCGCTAGCCCTTCTTCTGGAACCCTCCTTTAGGGCTTCCCCTATGTCCGGGTACTTAAACTCCTCTACGCCTTACGTTGACGTAGAGGTCTTCGGTTAGAGAGAGAGAGAGAGTGAGGTTGAGAGAGATTGAGAGAGAGAGACTTCCGTCTCCTCTCTATTCCGGTCCCTCTGTGGTATTCTCTCTGTGCCTCCCCTTTTCTGACCTTTGGCGTGCGTTGAGATGGCTGGGCTGGTCTGAGTGTTCTTGTCCCTTCCGGTGGTGCTTTGGTGTGTTTGCTGTATGAGCGTGGTCTGAGCTGGAGAGGTGAAAACCTGACAATTGTGCTTTGTTGCGTAGCGGGAGTTGATTTCGTTTTTTTAATAAGATTGGCAAATGTAGATTTGAAAATTGATTTTCCTTTAGATGATGTTTGTGTCAGGGGAGGGGACGCATTGCCATATTGTGAATGAAACTCATTAAATAGTGCATAAATTATATCACTAACCTCGTTGTATTCTTCTTTCAGATCAATTGGATTGTCCTCATACATTGGCATTGGACCAAAAAAGAAGCATAATAATAATTGAAACATTCTTCTAAAGAACCAAGTCTAAAACGAGGATCAAAAACAAATGCAATATCATAAATATGCGGAATATGTGAATAATATTTTAAAAACTTTTCCTTCATAAAACTAGCAAAATAACTCACATAATCAGCATTCTCAAAATTTGAAAAAGCACCGGCGAGATTAACAGCTTCACGAATAAATTGGTTTGAGGTAGGTTTATAAACATGACTAAAAGTTTCAGTTGCATTATTAAAATATATCAAAGCATTACAAATTTTTTCACAGGTGTCGATCTCAGTCGAGTTTATAATATAGTTATTATATTATTTCATAAAAACAGGAAAATGTTGTTTATATCTAAGAAGAACTTCAATTAACTTATAAGTACTATTCCAACGAATAGACAAAACTTTAGGAAAAACCACATATTTCTCACCTCTTTCTATCAAATAATCATGCCATTTTTTCTAAGTTGTCCATTACCCCAAATACGTCTAATCCCCCCATTGACTACCTCCAAAGATGCTCACAACGTTTTTAGACCATCTTGCACACATAAATTTAGAACATGACATGCACATCGTTGATGAAAAAATATACCCATCAAAGAAGTAGAACCACACAATTCACACAATCTAGGAATAGCAGCAGTATTATTAGTAGCATTATCAAAACCAATAGCAAACACCTTATCAATTAAATTATACTCGATTAAAATACGCTCAATCAAAATATAAATATGTTCAGCGGTGTGACGATCATTAAATTCACGGAAAGCAAGAACACGTTTATGCATATGCCAATCATTATCAATATAATGTACAGTCAGACCCAAATAATGTAAATTATGATAAGTATCCTCCCATATGTCAGAACATACAGTAACATGTCCATCAAAATTTGCAAAATAATTTTGTAACCTTACCTTTTCCGCACCATAATTTTGTAAAGCCTTGAAATTTCTTTCTTAACCGTTTTGCGACTATAACCTCTATATTGCGGATTTAAACAAGTTTGTGCATAATCACGAAAAGCAAGACTTTCAGAAAACAAATAAGGCAAATTTTCTTCAACAAGTAAGTTAGCCATACCAGTCAAATTTTGTGCATCATTGTATGAGAAATTACCAAAAGTTTGTTGATTATTTGCAAACCTCGATATTTGAGTTTGCTTCCCCGTTCCGCCGCGTAATTTTGCATACTCCACCGGGTGTTTGGACTTAAGATGTCTTGTGGCGGATCCGTATCCGCCGGAAATCCCCAAGTTATAGTTTTTCTTGCATCAATTGCAAGTTGCGGTCCAATTCCCGGTGTTCGGATCCTTCCACTTAGAAAAATTATTAACCATTAGTTCAGATTTACTTTTTTCAACTGAGTATTCAATCTCTCGTGAAATAAGATTGTACGGAGTATTCTATACATAATAATTTTATAAGTTATTATATTCAGCTCCTTACATGTTTTGATAGAATCATGACATATACTTGAAAGTTTTGCTAAATTGATTAAACTTGACTCCCGAGTCCCGACTTTGAGGAGTCCATTATCACCGTGTTATTCAACCAAAATAAACTTAAATTAATTTCAAGGATTAAACGTGAAAATTAAATGGATAGGTGAGATGAAATTTTTGCATTCACATCTTTGATAAAAAAGCATTCACATCTTTGATAGAACAAATAGATTAGAAAATATAGGGAAAAAAGTATTCACAATATTGAGTTTTCAAGAGGATTAAGGACATTTTTAATTAGACTAACATTCTCATAGAATATCATTTCAAATCATGCTGGACCTGAATAAATCAGATTATTAGATCAACAAAAGGTAGACTTAACAACCAGCTGGGCTGGAATGCTTGGTTTAATAAAATACATATAAAACACACTTTATCAAATCAGTTCCGATCAAAATTAAACAAATCGAATCACATTAGAAAATTTTAATCTAAATAGAAACATCCTAATTCGGTAGAAGTGCATGTGCACACTATACATACACTTACTAACTATTAGTATCAATAAAAAAATCATGTTTTTATACCCATTAGGTATCAATAAGAGACATAGTAGTTTGGTATCAAATTATCAATGGTATACTATGCTTGGTGAATGTTGCAGATTGCAGCAGTGATACTTCTGCAATCAAATTCCATTGTCTTCATCCAATTCTCAAAGTCTCCTATTTCCTGCACATCTCAAACACACATGAAGGCACTCACTGCGTTTGTGCACCCTTTCTATATGAAAGTATGATTCAAATCGTAATTATTAGTGACAGTATATCAGAGGTTTGAAATGTTTTTTTGCCAAAAATCAAAAGATCGTCTTCATGTAGTCCATCAGTCCAGCTTTAGAATAATGACACTATCTAGTATCTATATTAATAATACCCAAACACAACCTAACAACAGATAAATGCTTAAGCCAAATCAAACTGATTGAAGAGAAATAGACACCAATTACTCAAAAAAGGATGCACCCCATTAAAAAAGGATGCACCCCAAACAGATTTCACGCTAACCCTTCACTATTTGAACTTTAATTGTGTATGAATGTATGATGATGTACAGGTAACAGATAAATGCTTCGGCCAAATCAAACTAATTGAAGAGAAAATAGACACCACTTACTCAAAAAGACGATGCACCCCATCCATAGGGGATCTCCAGAGGCCAAAAAGTTTTATGGGAGGGTAATATTGATCTATAAGAGGGTGTTTGGATATTCACCTGAATCATCTCGAAAGTACTCTCCCAGAAAAGCAATCATACTTTCCATATAATCCAAATCCCACCCATCACCCAAGGAGGAAAATAAAACAGCTTTCTTTTTGTAGCTAATAGGTTTTTGGTGTGACATGCAGGAGTCAATCCTCACCTTTTATTTTCTAGGGGAACTGCTAATCTGCATGGCAAACAAACAATCTCTAACAAAGTTTCGTGCTATATCCAAGCATGTATTTTCTTGGGAAAAGATCAGACCTCTTATGTGCTGCGACTTTTTCCTAATTTCATGATACCACACATGGCTATATAAGTGCTCAAAGCTTAGGATTCCATGAGATTTTAAAGGATTGTTGAAATTCCCTTCGGATTGTTGAAATCCATAGAAATCCACTGTCCCCAATGTAGAGTCTCTTGGAATCTGGCAAAATCTGTTGTCCTCAAAATGTCCATGGATTCTTTCTCTTGGATTGCTAAGGATTTCCATGGATTTCAAATCTAAAATGCAAAGGAAAGAATACGGTTCAAAATCTCTGCATTCCCTTCAGATTTCAACGAATTTCCCGTGGAGAAGCAAAGCGAGAAGCAATATATTTCCAAGTGACTCACCAGAACGAGCTTGCTGGCTACATCAATGGAATTGGAAGTCTAGGATGAGAGCTCCGACGGTTCCACCTCGTTGGATATATGTGTTAGGGAAAACACGACACCCCGACCTTTACTAGGATCAAGAGCTAAGAAAACTCTTATATTATATAATTGAAATTTACAAGTGAGTGTACAAATGAACGGGCACCTCACTTCACACTTTCTAGTTGGGAATACTTCATTCTTCATCACTTATGAGAAGCATTTCTTTCATGCCACAAATGAAAGGCTACAACATCTATTTATACTACTCACAAGGGGGTAGGGATTCCCTTTCTCTAAAATCTTGCACCTGCCTCTCTACATTCTAAATTCTTTCAAGAAGCCTCCACAAGCTTCCAATATCTTCTTAAAGAATCTAGATGACTCCACACTTATTTAGAACACTCTAGACTACTGTACAACCTTCTACATATTTCTAGAGATTTCTACATTTCTCTAGAGACTAGAGTATTCTAGAATATTCTATAACATTCTACACACATCTATAGAGTACTATATTTTCTAGATAATTCCACAATATTCTAGAGAATTCTACTCATCTCCACATAATCCTAGAATTCTCTACAATTTCACAAAGTATTTGGAAATATTGAATTATATCCTAACAATATGTTGCCCATCCATCTCTCATTTTTCGGCTGCGGAAGCTGCACCCACCTATGAAGCAGGCAAACAAAACAGTGAAAGAGAAGTTGGGGCTTCGTGGGGGTGGCGACAAACCTATGTGTCGAAGCTGCTGAGAATTACTTTTCAGAATGATTTTCAATTCCATGGAATCTAATAGATTCTATTCAATTCCATAAAAATCCATGAAAAACTCAATCTTTAAAAATGCTATCGAATCATAAGTAAGGACACCCCTAGAGTTTCATGACAAGCTATCAAAACCTATGTAGCACGGAAACTCTCGGGTAATATGTTTCCGCTACGGAAACTCTTTGGAAACTCTCAAAATAAGCATTTTTGAGCAAAGTTGACGTTTCCCGTTTCACGTTTCCTCATGGTTTTCGCGTTTTCGTGCAACATAGATCAAAACACTTCTAACCAGTTACTATGGGCGGTTGAAGAAAATCTTTACAGGATTTTCTCACTCCTTTGAAATGTAAACTTCCAAAGATTGAAACACATTTATCCAATTAGAGGAATTCAACAGTTTGATATGTGAACTGCGAAAAAACGAAATATCCATGCATAACAATGAAACGATCAAATATAAGTACGTCTACATAGAAAATTGAACCTTACAATCGAAACAATGGAATGATGGATAAAGTGAATGAATACCTTGATTGCGGTGTTGATAGCCTGAGAAGCCCCTAGCCACTGATCCGTTTGCTTTCCGAATCGCATAATGGAGGCCGCCAGAGCTCGAATTTCCATTTCTATTTTTTTCTCTATGGCGTAAGCCTCTTGGACATCGCCGTTCACGGCGTCGACCAAAAGATCCGAAACCCGAGTCGCGCTATGAACCGCATCTTTCTTTGATTGCTCTAATCAATTTTTCAAAACCAGAAGCAAAAAAGCAAAAGTCTGAACCCTACCCACAAAATTGTATCAGGATTGCAAACAAAACGTGTTTTAGATGGTGACTAACCCGTAAAGGCCCGGAGCTTGAGAGACTTATCATGGTGATCGTTGATCATTTGCATCAGTGAAGCTTCTAAGCTATCGGGCACTCCGGGTCGCACCCGATCCATTTTCAATCCGGCAGCCGGGAACTCCCTGGTTGTGCTGATTTAGTGATCGCCCTCTTTTCGAGAAGGGGCGCTACTGCGAATTCCAACCTTCCGAATGTGGGTATCCGCACTGTATCCAAAACCCGCAAGAGTTTCATAGTTCGTACCACAGTGGCATCTCACAAGTTGAGTTGGAAGTAAGAATCACAAAGTAAAAATTGGGTCGATGAAATTCCAGCAGAAATAACTTTAGTCATATATTCTTTACTTTGAATGAAAATGACGATGTTTTTTGAAACCGACAAAAAAGGAAGTTTGGCCAAGTTTTTTGCCCGCTCACTAATATTAAGAAAAATGAGTTTATATGTGTGGTTAATAGTTAAGGGAAAAGTATGGAAAATATACTTGTGGTTGGGTCAGTTTTCAGATACGATCACATGTTTCACTTTTTATCAAACTGGTTTATGCATTTGAATTCCATTATCTCAAAAGGTCACGCCGTTAAAAATGTGTCAGGAAGACGATTAATAGTAACTCCGATTTCTAAAAGTGCCAAAAAATAAAAAGAAAAATACCGAAAGATGTGCCTTGTTAAAATGATCTTCAAACCACCTTTGTCTTTGGACTTTTCGGTGATAAAGGTGGCTGGAAATAACAAAGAAAGATGACCTAGCGATCGTCTTATTGAGGCGCACCTTCCGATACTTTTGTTTTAATTTTCTGGACACTTTTGAAAATCGGAGTTAGTGTTCATCGTCTTCCTCTGGCGATTTATAACGGCATTAGTCGTCAATACCCTGTTGTGATAATGAATTCAAACACATGAACCACATTGATAAAAAATGAAATACACGACCCTATTTGAAAACGGACTCAACTACAAGTACCTTTTTCGTACTTTTCCCAATATTTAATTAATAAAATAAGACTTAAGTAAAAATGATTTAGAGTCATAAAATTTTACCAAATTTGATATGAAACAATTTTAATGAGATTTTCTGGAAAAAAATGAAACAATATTAGTGGAATGGAAGGAATAACTCTTTTCAACAGTACACCATGTGACATTTCTGTGATTATAATTAAATCTGCAGCTTCACTTAATTGAACATGAAAGAACTTTATTGACCATCAAATCCATTATGTTGAATATTGTGAATGCATTATTGAACATCGTTATCTCTATTATATATCTTCTAATTTTTTATTTTATAAATTTTACTATATTATATATATATATATATAATCAACTTCTAAGAATTTCAATGTGCGAATCTAATTTAATATTATGCTTCTAAAATATGCATTGATATGAAAATCGTAAACTCAGTGAGTTGAGTAGCAAGACATTTTCATTGAACATCAAACTTCCTCTATTGAACATTGTAACTCTACAATAAGTGTACAAAATTTCAAAACCTCATTTGATCATCAAAATTTCTTCAGAGTATCGTGTTCTCTACTATTGAACATCGAGATAATATGTGTTGAGTATTGGAACTTAATAATTGAGTATATCTAATTTGTGCATTATAACATATTCATTGAGAATCACAGGTATGCGTATTGAGCATTGGAACTCTGCAATTTAGTATCATGGTCGTTGTTCTCATTATAAATTTTTTTGTTTTGTAAAATTTTCTTAAATTATATCCACAATCAATTTCTATGAATTATAATATGTGAATCTAGTGTAATATTATACTTTTGAAATAAACATTGATAAGACATTTTAAAATGAGCATAACACCAATGCTGAATGAGGACACATAACTTACAAATTAGCATGAACAAAATCAAAAAATCATTTGAATTCTCTAATATGCTCATATGTAGTATCATTTAAGCGTTATACTCACTTAAGTATAACATAAACTCTTTTCTATAATATGCACATGTAGCAGATTCATTAGTAACATTTTTACTAAACTTTCATTATATATAACAATGAAAAATACAATAATGTTATTTTAAAAATAATTTATAATTTGTCATTCTTTAATTACAAATAAATTCACACATGTAGCATATTTACTTTAAACACTATATTCAGGTTATTCACACAAAATTCATGTTAGTAATTAACAAACGATATTAAAATAATTAACAAACAATACTCCCTTAATACCTCGAGTATTTAATAAACTAATAAATATTTATCTAAAGATTAACAATAGAAAAATTAAACCTTATCATGGAGTATATGCACCCGGGACCCCCGACCCACAGGCTCCTACTACTCTAACACAGGTCCAACATGCCCAAGAAGCACAAGAGGCCCAAAGGGCAGTGGCCCAAGTGTCAAGAAGCCTCATGGCCGAAGGCTCCAAAATCTCACAAGACAACGTATTTTAGACATACAAACCTACTAGGAGAAGACAGTGGAAATCAGGAGCCTTCGGCTCATGCACGCCCTCGGCATAAGGATAGCCCTCGGTGACAGGGTAGCCCTCGGCCTTGGAGCCCTCGGCTCCAACATCGACAGCGGTGGCTCGGGAGGACTCTTCACCCCCCTTCTGAAAGAAGGCGTCCACCGGCTTGGGAGCTGTCAGCTCCCTCTTCTTCAAAGCCGCGAAGGATAGGACATGCCCTTGCCCTTCTGCTTTTTCAAAGCCGCAAAGGATAGGACATCCATATTGGCACCTGCAAGGACAACACAAAATTAGTAAGGACGAGGGATCAAGACAACAACAAATCAGACTACAAAAATTTATAAGTAAAAAGGAGGAGCCTTCGAGAACCACCTCCGGCGCCCTCGAACGCCCGATCAAGGATGGGATACTTCTCATCCCGTTCACCCAGAAAGCGGTAGCGTCGGAAGCCCAAACTGTACAAGTCCTCCGGGAGGGTCAACTCCCTAATTGTCACATGCTTTGTAGCCCCCTCTGGAAGAGCCGTTATCTTCCTCCCCGCCTTCTCGAGGGCGACACTCTCCACCTTCGAATGCCTCCTGAAGTGGTTCCGCAGCTCCCTCGGGAACGGATTTTCTGCCATCTTCAGATAACAAAAATGATCCTTCCAGCCCTTGTGGGACGAAGGCACGTCATCAAAAGCCTCCACGGGGCGATCTGTTGCAGGTTCGCGAAGCCCTCGGCATTAGTGTGACCTCCCCGGCAGAGGTTGAAGCTCTGGAAGAACATGTCGAGACTAACAGACACCCCCCGGGATCGGCAGGGACTCAAAAAACCGGTGATATATGAGTGGCTATTAGGAGTCAGTTGGCAGGGGTCTAGGCCAACGTACCTAAGATATTCGAGGACGAAGGGGTGCAATGGAAACCGAAGGCCAAGGCTGACGGATAACACATGTACAGCGAAGCACCCCTAGGGAGCTTGGGAGAGCACGTCGTCAGTGCCCGGCTCCACCACGATCTCCGAAGGCCCAACGTGGAGTTGTGTTACATAGCACTCCGCCCTATCAGTCCTCGACTTCAGCGCGAGGGCGGCAGTGTTCAGAAAGGAGTGCCCCTCGGGTATCCCCACAGGTTTCCCTTGGTCAGCCACGCTCTGCTTCTTCCCCGGAGCAGCTGTAACACCGTCCCCAAATGTATTTACCTTTAACCGAATAATTTATTGAACCTTATGAAGTTTTTAGTGAATTTACGAAGTTGTGAATTTGTATTATATTTTTCGCGTGAATAGTAAAATGCACGTGGGGCCCATATCGGGAGTGGGGACCGCCCGATATTATCGGGGCCACATATTATATTGATCTTGGACTAGATAATATGTATATGGTGGTGGATATCCTAGTTGAGCCATGACAATAGCATAGGGTTGACCGGTTGGTCAAACGGGGCCAAATTATCAGTATCGGCAATCTATTAGATAACAGCCCGAAAAGGGATTTCGGAGACTTCTAAATTAAAGTTGAGGGATGCATATTGATTCTAAGGTCCATTAAGAATTGGGAACAAGTGTTATATTTTATTTGACCCGATAAAATAAAATATACTTAAAACAGTCCGGAAAAATACAACTTTCGGGGCAAATTGCACACTTTGGGACAAATTGGGATGACCTCCCACATGGGTGGGGGCCACCCCACGAAATTGTCAACCCTTGAGGGCTGGATGAGTGCCAAATTGGCTGAACAACAATTGAGAGGATGGGGAAGACACCTTTGACATGTAGTAGGCCCCCTCCCTTCACTCATTTGTCTAAATGAGACAAGAAGGAACCACCCCTACCTCCTTACACTCATCATTTCGACCCAAATACACCAAGAAGGAGAGAAGAGCTCTGCAAACTTCATCTCCATAGCCCAAATCCGAACTCAAGCTAAAGGGAGTCCAAGAAGAAAGTTTAAGAAGGAAAAAGGTAGGAAAAAGTGTGAAAATTAAGGTAATGACCTTATCATAACTTTTCCTTTGTTTTTCTTCTAGCATATAAGGTATATATCATATGAAAGACCTTTAGTATTGTTCTACATGATTTAAGTGTGGAATAATGGGTTGGAAAGTGATTCTAAGTCCAAAAACGGACTTAGAAGCCAAATCGACCGGGTTGCCGAAAAATAACCTTTTATAGGTTATTTGTGTTGATATGGGTTTTGTGATGATAAAACCTTGTTAGGAACTTGATTTAAAGTATTTTTGAGCTTCGCCGGAGTTTCGTCGGAGTTGGTCAAAGTTCGCCGGAGTTGGTCAAAGTTCGCCGGAGTTGGTCAAAGTCCAATCGAGAAACGTAGAACGCGCTTAAGCTTAATTAAGGTGAGGATGACCGACTATGTTACTTATAATCTTGGGTTAATTTCATGGGATTTCCTAAGTGAATATAAATGTGATGTGCATGAATTGTTGATGGTTAATCATGCCTAAATAGAACTACTATTGATTAAAAGTATAGTATGCATGATACACAAATTTATGAATAAGTTGTGTATGTATGATGTTATGAATATGTGTGTATGATGGTTGTACCAACCATGAATTTCATTTGAGATAGTATACTTTGATACCATGTGGAGAAGCCATGAAGGTATGAAAGTGATACTTGATATTTAGGCCCATCATGCATGAAGAAAGAATTATATTGAAATAAATAAATAACTAGCATTAAAATATTAATTGGAAATGTTAGTTGAGAAATGGATGAATTAGATCCTAAGAATGAGAATCATAAAGAATCGGTGATTATGAGCTGGGCTCTAGACCGATGTAGATAACAGTGATTATGA